GATAAGCGTTATTAGTTCTGTGTCAAAGCCTGATATAATCTAATTCAGTACCGATGAATTTAAGGCTAAAAGTGACACTTCCATTGAATTATTTTTCGGAAGATTCTGTAAAATTCAGACCATCAATGTTAACGACACCTGTCGTTTTCATTTTGCAAGAGATTTGCACGAATGTGAGTGTCACCGGACCATCAATCAAACTGGACAGGTTTTGAATCCTCGAGTAGTTGAATAGCCGATTGATGTACTGAAATCGTCTGTTAGATAAGTCATGAGGAAATAATACTTCGTAGAATAAAGTACGACGTCAAAGTTGAATAAGTAAAATATTTTGGATATGTTATAACGTCATTTTTAGGTATACTGACAGTTGCACTGAATGTTTGTTTGAGTATCGTTAGTGTAAAAGTTGGATGTGTGGATAAAAAACCAGTGCGAAGACTATGGTGGGGTTCGTGAAGAATTTCAGAGGTTGTTTAGATAATTTTCGAACTCAAATTGCATGTGAGCAAACCAAAAGTGGAATTCAAATGATTTTCGTTAAATAGGGAAGTCGAGCTATGATTTACCGTGTGATATAACAGAGAATACAAAGCTTATAGTAAACATTAATTAAGATGGTAACCGCCAATGTAACCAAAGTTTATAAGGTTTAGATAGAGTGGACATTTCGTAAAAGGCCGATGCAAAGAGCATATTATTTAGCGCTAAGTGATATACCATGTACAACAAATTGTCTAGTTAGGAAATGGACTAAGATTGCTTGTGCACATGCATTAGGTCTTTCCACAGTATGACGACTGCGATTAAACAGTAATTCGAATCTGGATTACATACGAGGTACTGTTGGTTAAATTCTTAGATTAACACAGCATTGTAGACTGAATTTGTATTAGTCTAAAATTAATTGAAGCCAAATACATAGCACTGCCTGACGAACAGTTTAAACAAGATCTTAGATTGCAGGAAATTTATAGTTTATACTCACCCTAAATTTCTAGCACTCGTATCCTCCGTTTCGCAACGGAACTTGGAAATTTGGAAATTAGACAGGCGGTGGTCAAGTAAGTAAAACATTCTAAGGGAATGTTCCTGATGGAAGTCTGTTGATAGTGATTAGGCAGAAAGATGAACTGCGAACTGACAGTTAACCTTGTCTCGCTTTTACAAGTGGATACGTTACAAACAGTTGTGCGTTGATGTTACCTTGTGGCTATGTATACGAGTGGTTGATATTTTCTCAGACATATTACAGAGGAGCATTTACACGCTGCTAATGCTTGTCAATGAGCCACAATGGTTGTTTATAATCGTAGTTGACTGGTTAGTTTTATTGATTGAACTAATTAATTAAGCTTCGATAAGCTTTATGCTATTACGACTTCCCTTCACTCAGTAAACGGAACGAAGGTCAAAGATACAGTGACACGATAGGTCATTCTAATCAGTTGTCCCCAGCCAGATCAAGAAATCTTGATGAGACGTAGAGAATGTGTTCTACACGCACCCGAAAAGTACTAGGTCACACAGCGCACAAATCAAGCTTATTTATACGATGATAGAAACGCCCTTGGAAAAGGCACAAAATAGCGTATAAAAATATCCGTCAGTCAATGACAGCCAAGGATTTACAAGTGGAAAATGTAAGCTGGAGGTTACCCAAGCTGGAGTTCATCTCGGCGCGAAAACATATAATTCAAATTTTAAGAATAAAATTAGAAAATTACCACCTTTTCCGAGTGAGTTCTGGGGATTTAACTTCTCGAACAAGTTTAAATTCCAATCAACATTGATATGATTCAACGAATTTTTGCACTGATTGATTAACATAGGCAACGATGAAAATGAAAAATGTTTAGTATAGGATGCAATTATAAAGACTAAAATGTTAGGTTGCGTTATTCGAAGTCTCGCTCACCAGCGTAGACAAGCAACGTTGATGACCTCTGTCGAGTGATTGGAGGCCTACCAGAGTTAAACGGGAATAGTATCACAAACCAGCTGAATTCTAAGTCACACTTCGTGGTCAGTATATGACGTGGACTACCCCCCTCGACGTATTAAAGTACTGTGACTGCTTTGAAGACTATATAACACAAAGGACGTTATTATGGAAATATATTGGTAATAATGAGTACAGAGAAGATAATGAAACCACTACCATGTGCGCCACTCTATGGTATACGATTGACTGATGCGTGTTGGTCGTCCTTGACTTTGATAGGGATCGAGGATCTGTTCGATATTCAGTGGCCCAATTGCCAGATGATTTGACTAGAGCTCAGTGACATTTCACTGCCCCTACAATACTCACTCACCAGATTCAACAACCGTTTGAATCGGTACCAAACATGTTTGGAGTAGTCGCGCACTGAAGGTTGCAACATGGTTAATATGATTCTTTCAGGAATTGCTGAGCTGTAAGATAAATGTAGAGGAGGCGGCAGAGACCGGTAGGGAAACAGCGAGTAATAATATGTTGCTAGGACGGTTGAATATAAATAATAGAAAAAACATGACGTTTCCAAGTTATATAAAGTCGCATTGAAATAAATAGTTCTGACAAGTAATTGAGTTCCTCAGATAAGAAACATTATGTTTACAGTAAGAGTAATGATGTCACAGTGATAGCACGATAAGTATATTAACAGTCGATGCCGATGTTGGTACTACCATCTGTTTAAAGTACAAAAGTCAGATAGTATTTAACAATTGAGAGGCATGAGCAATGTGTTACGATTATATCCCTTCTAATTAAAACTGCTGTTTGGAATCCTCAGGAGCAAGAAAATACCAAGAATAAATACTTTTGGGATTACGAAACACTGGTCAACCAAACACTTATCCTTATTTTCAGAGTAAGAACCTGAAAAAGATTGGGCATTGAGGAATGAAAGGTGCGCATTTCGGTTTTCAAGGTAAAGTCCTCACAAAAGCCTTTCTTAGTGTGTTCTAGAGTTTAGCAAATTGCTTGTATCTAGCGATAGAAATGTGTTTCAGGTTTATCGAATGATCTATACAAACGCTCTCGGGACATCTGTAACAAACTGAGATATTTCGCATATAAGGATTCCTGTTTCGAAGAAAAAAACAGATCTGTAATGTCCCATTAATGTCAGTCACCTAGGATTTCTTATAGAATTTTTCAGCATATATTTCTAAGGAAGTTGATGTGCTTGAGTGAAAAGCGGTATTTCATACATTAGGTATTTGACAACGTTGTCTTTACTGGTTTTGGGACATATTCCAGTCAGAATTTCCGAACGGTATAGCAAACGTTTGGTCAACTAGTTAAACGTCTTAAGGCCAATAGATTTTTTAGCCTGCCGGCTTTTAAAAATTCTGATCCTTAGTATTGCTTGTGGCGGCGCAACTACCTAAAATTCCCCTGCAGGCGGTTTTTTGTGCTAAAGATGGTGGTTGCATGACATTGGAAAACTTTCCAGACAAACCAGTTTTCAATAAAAATATTTCACTTCATAGGGTGCAGTGCTTATATTCTTCAAAACTCTGCAATCTATAGTTTTTTATCATCCTACAAGTATAGTAAATGTCCTAATTATACTAAGTTAAATCTTCAGGCAATCGAGTAAGGAATCATAGAACTTTTTTTCTATTGATATTCTATTAATTAGTCCATTATGTTGTACCATCAAATGTAAAATACGTACTTCCTGATGTGCCTTCGTAAATAATGACATTTTTAGATAGCTTAAAGTTTGTAGTTGTTTAATTTGTCTGCAAAATCTATTAGCTGTAATAATTACCTCTGGTTTTACAATAACAGTACTAGCCTATGCATAGCACACTCATAAGGAAACGTTTATTTGCGCCAACTATCATTTTTCTACATAACTTTGTTATGAATAAATAGAGTCTAACGTCTTACGTTCTTTTGCATTATCGGTTTAGTGTGTAAGTGCAAAAGCATCATCGGAGCTGCTGAAATGTTAAGATGTTTTTTCTTTAAAAGTTAGTTTATCTTCTAATCAAGAAGAATGAAATGTTTTCACTGGTAACCAAACTGTGGGATCACCGTAGCAGCTAGTTTATTATAGCATACCGGAGGTTTGCAATCCAAATGAATGGTTTTCCAGTTGTCTAGTTTTTCGACATCTTTCTGTACAACATTGTTCGTATTAATTATGCGGCACCTACCGCCATTATAGTATCTTGTTTGTTACTACTGTTAGCTATATTATCTTATTGCTTGTATTTTCGGGTGGCCAACATATTCTACCTTTTGTTAACCTTTTACTGTCTGTCTGAAGTCTTCCACAACCTAGCCTTAGATTTGCTGAAGTATTGACATGAGATCTCCAGGTTTTGCCAGATTCGAGAGACTGGTAAACCTAAACCAAATAAAGCCAGAAAGGTACCTTGAGATAAGTAATGAGGTGGATATACTGTCCTTATGTAAATCAGAAATAGTTCACACAGATTAATCCCAGTCACTGGTTATTCTAGTTCGTACGGATATTTAAAAGTTCTCTTGTAAAATCTACAGGTTACATGTATTCGATCTTATTAATTTTTCAAACATTGTCGGTGTTTGATGTAATCATTAACTGGGTACTTTATAAATACTCGTGTGTAAAAGAGACAACTAGGTGTAATTATTGATATGCCTCATTCGGAGTTTATGTGTTACGGCTGTCAGTGAAACCCTGGACAATATGGCTTAAAATCTTTTACACTAGGATTATTGTGTTCACTATTTATTATCTAAACTTGGAAGTCAAACACTACCTTTATATTTAATTTATTACGGGTTCATATTTTCCATTTTAATTTCAATAATTTTGTTTGGTTTTCTTTTTGCTCCATTGTGTAACTTGGTAATTTTGGTCTTGGTGTTTTATAAGTGAGGCTTTACTTTGTTGTATCTGCTTGTGTCATAACCTAGTTTAGATTAGGAGAACACAGTCATCATTTACCAAGTGGGAAACTCACTGAAAATGTAAGGAAGCTTTGAATTGGATTAATTTATTTTTAAGCATCTTTACGTAATTTATTACTCTATGTATACTTTAATACTTGTTTTTATATAGACTTGAAACGCAGATTCTACCCATCTAATGAGTAGTGAAGTAAGTACTGGTGATGGATTTATCACATGCTGCTAGGTCCCCAATTACTTCTTGAAATTCACTCTAACTGGTCATACAAAAGCGGTCTCATCGGTGAAATTTAGTGAAAATGGTCAGTGGTTGGCAAGTTCATGTAAGTCCTCGATTATTGGTTACACTTTCCCTTTTGAAATAATACAGCAGCTGATAAATTAATCAAAGTATGGAATGCTTATGACGGGAAATTTGAAAAATCTATCAGTGGTCATAAACTGGTAGTCTTCACTTTAATAATTTTTATTTGCTATGCGTATATATTATGTTAAAGGGAATCTCAGATGTTTCATGGTCTTACGACTCAAGATTTCTGTGTAGTTCCTCCGATGACAAAACTTTAAAACTATGGGATCTGGTCTCCGGCAAGTGTCTAAAAACTCTTAAAGGTCACAGCAATTATGTTTTTTGCTGCAATTTTAATCCACAGTCAAACCTGATCGTTTCTGGCTCGGTATGTCTTTTGTCGTTGTTTTTTTCTAACTGCTACTGATATAGTTTGATGAAAGTGTCAAGTTATGGGATGTGAAAACAGGCCGATGTATCCGCACGCTTCCTGCCCACTCTGATCCTGTCACAGCTGTATGTCATTATATGTATGATTTTCTTAAAAGCCTGCTTAGGTTAATTTTAATCGTGATGGTTCACTTATCGCTTCAAGCAGTTACGATGGACTATGGTATGTGGTTTAAACTGTATTTCTTGAACCATTAATCTAAATTTTAGTCGAATCTGGGATACCGGTTCTGGTCAGTGCTTAAAAACGTTGATAGGTAACTTGACTTGTGCATACACATACGCTGCTCAATTGATTGATTTTCAGATGATGATAACCCTCCTGTGTCATTTGTCAAATTCTCGCCTAATGGCAAGTATATTCTAGCTGCTACACTTGATAGGTATTTCAGTTACCTAACATGACTAAATCCTAATAAATTTTCCAAACACAGTTGTCTCAAATTATGGGATTACACTAAAGGTAGATGCTTGAAAATTTATGGAGGGCACAAAAATGAGAAGTATTGTATATTTGCAAATTTTTCGGTTACCGGAGGCAAAGTATGTTTAATAATTTATTTGATGATTGTTTTTGATCAGTGGATTGTTTCGGGATCTGAAGACAACTGCATTTATTTATGGAATTTGCAAACAAAGGAAGTTGTACAAAAACTTTCTGGTCATAATGGTTTGTTTTTACATTTTATTTCTAAGCTTTTTAATTCTTTTATAGATGTTGTTTTGTGTACTGCTTGTCATCCACAAATGAACATGATTGCTTCAGGATCGTTAGAGGGCGATAAAACAATTAAAATTTGGACTAGTGATAAGTGATTGTTTCTGATTTATCCTGCTTCTGGATCATTGTATACTATTTTTTATCTCCAATGCTCTTTGTCTGTATATGTTTGTATCATTTGTTTTTCATGTCACAAGTTATTCATGTGAACTACATGTTCATCGACTCATCCTACGTAAATCATTCACTATTGACATTTTTTGTTTCAAAAAGGAACAATCTATTTTCTATTGTAAATTGTCTGACTAAGATTGTCCGTTTGAGTGTTCTTTTTACCGATCCTTGTAAAATGAACTTATTATGAATTCATACCTTAATAGTAAAATACAAATACGGTTACTAATTAATGAATGGTAGATTGATGTAGCTAATTGAATAGTTGCTCACAAAAACACGTTTACAATCCCAACTGATTAAACTACTAGGAAGAAAATTAAACGATAATCAATGTAAAATATACTTCTTGATCCTTGAGTGCATGAAAGAATGAAGTGAGGATTTTTATATGAAGTTTAAAAAAATTAGCGGTTTGGTGCTTTGAGCAAAAGAATTATGGAGGAAATATTGACTTTCTCCATACCTGTTATCAAAAGCACGAAAAGAATCACATCACTTCGTAAAGCGGCTATCTAAAAAATCCCACTGATAAGATTTGTTAAATCAAAATATTGTGGCAACCTTTTAATCATTGAACATATTCCAGAAACCTGTAACATAAGTAGATTGTTCAATCCCTAGTCAACAAATTTCCTATACTTTATCCAAACCGAAATAGTGGATTTTTCAGAGGACTAAGGCGATTGGGAATCCCGACTCAAAAACTACGACCTAAACCATTTCTGATCAGTGAACGGATGAATGGAAAACTTAGGGAAGTTTTCTTCGGCGTTAGGATATAACAGCTTAGTTGTGGAATTGTCGTTATTGGCGTGAAATAAAACAACTATAGCATCATATTTGGTTACAGCAGCTAACGTTAACACACTTTAAATTTCAGACTGAAGGTATCATAAGTATCTGGAAGCTTCAGTTATCAAGATTTTGTTTATATATTTTAAGCGGATTTTTAGGCGGGTGTACTTCATATCCAGTTATTCTGGCTGAGAAATACACTTTCTCAGTTCATATTTCAGCCAAAGCACACTTAACCTAGGAATTAATTACCTACAGACGCGATTCTAAGCTTATCCTCAGGTTGTCGAGCACAGTGTTAGCTTGGCCAATGTCAGGACAGGTAAGCTATTCGGCTTGCTAATAGTCTGTTAAACAGAAGAAGAGCGACATAAGTAACGCACTGAGTAGTAATTAGAGGAGAGAAAAAGTGAATCAAGAAAACCTACTATCCCAAATGGAACAAAACGCCCGTCCTGTACTCCACGGTTAGCGATCATCCACCTCTGCTTATCATGCTTGTAACTTAAGATAATCCGTACATATGCCAATCAGATACTGATCAACTGCAGTCCTTAAAATCAGTGGAAAGATCCAAACAACACAAATAATTAAACCTCACCCAATTGCACAAGCTAGCGGTTATCTGGACTCAGTATCTAAGTGGACAACGCAAAGGAGTTTGAAGAAAATGGCCCTGAGATCGAGTCTCGTAGTGAACGTTAACTTTGGGATGGAGGCACATACAGCTGGCGAGTCCCGAATAGGACGAAGCGCGCGTCCTGGATCCCTTTGCTGAAACTTAATACCGTTTATGACAAATATGGGAGATTGTGATTAATGAATAAACAATACAGTCATACAAGATCAAGGGGAGTCAAGGTGGTGGTGGGCGTTTGATGCTGACATTGATGGATTTGTATATCGGTCTTGCCTTACACTTAGTTTGGAATTAATATGTTCACTATCGGAAAGAAACAGAAAATTATTTTCCCAGGGAAGTGACGGGTATCCGAAGATTCTGGTTAATTGACAATTTTACTAAGTTAGATTCCAGTGTGAAGGTTCACCATAATATTTATGAAAATATAGTGGAAGACTTCAAGATTGCCATAGGGTTCTGTCTTGAGTCACTGAGTAGTACAACCTTCAGACTGCTATTCGGTTTGTGACGAACGAAAGAATATTAAACCTATGGAGATTATTTTGCACTTCACGAGACCATATAATAATTTGGATTCTTCCGGTTACTTTCCGTGTTATCTGAGCGTCGGCAGTTAATATGAGAAATGGAAACCACAGGGTTAGTATGAGTTGAACGTAACCAAGCCACCTATGATAGTGTCCCAAGATGTAACACTTAGTGAGTTGTCTCCACCATCTCCGGCTTCCACGCTTCTGGGCCTCAATACACTGTTGGTTCAGAATGGAAGCAGTTCTTCAGACAATCTTCTTGAAAATTCCAGATTTCAAAAGGATCAAGTAGAACTGCACCCACTAAAATGTCTCATAAGTGAAAAGGATTAGTATACGTCACTTTGGTCTTTGCTAGATGTAGGCTGATATTGTTTAACATCATCATCATTCATATAACTACCCAAATACACGAGCTTCCCCATCATTCTCGTCAGTTAATCACAAAGGATAAGCACAGATGATTAGACGCGATTAGTTTGCCGCGTGTTTTTATAAAATTTACTTAGCCTTCCGATCAGGATACTACAATCATCCTAAAAAAGTATTGGAATTCCTTCCAAATGTTTATTACGCCAGCTGTTTTGATATTTATCGACCAAGAGAAACGTGACACCCTTGCCAAAGTAGCCAGACCAGTCAATCAATCAGACCCATTTCTAAAGTGCTCTACTTGGCACAACACATTCTCAGGATCCGACGGCATATTTCTCTGGAGTAGTAAGTTGTAAGACATCAAAGAAATGTATCAATAAGAGCCCAGTCATAGGGTTATCTTTATTGCAGTTGAATTTACACAGTTACGTAGAACACCATCGTTAGCTCACTTAGTATTGGCGAACACAGTTGAGGACTTTAATCTAATAGTATTGTCGGAGACAAGATAATAATTTTGATGAACTGTTACTTTTTCTAGTCATTTACCATACAAACACATTATTTTTAATAACCCCACTAAGCAATCAGCTCCTATGATCATTCGCTTTGTGAAAAGTCGATGAAAAATGATTATTCTCAAATCCTAAACAATACTGTTCGTATTTGTTAGCAAGATATAGATTAGAGTAAAGCATATTCCGTGCAGGATTGTGTTGGTGCCCACTGGTTGGCTATTTCCCAACCAATCAGCGCTAGCAGAGACTTGGGGAAGTCTCTAGAATCTTATGTAAAAATTATAAGTATGCTAACGTTTTTCACACTGTGATTCCGACGTTCCTGTTCAATCGTATTCTGACGAGGACTAGTCAAGTGAATTAGTATCCAAGATTACTAAGCAACAAACGCAGCTTGTCGTAATAAGTAAACTTATAACAGTATTAGATTTATGGATAGGTCAGCGACCGGAAATCGGGTGTTGTGTCAAGTTAAAACCTAGTGACGACCAATACCAGTCTTAGGTCCCAAGACTTTAAAATAGAGAAAATATCTTCTCATTTCGGCTGTATTTTTTCTACGTTTCTGACTTGGTTACACGGATTTCTTTACCATCTATTCTGAAACATCTGTATTTCAAAGATTAACTGACCTTTGGCCTTATCTATTGGATATATCCTTCAGACTAACGTTATCGTGGTTATAATGGGGACACTTACAATTATCCATATGTATTAACATGGGGTTAAATATAACTTATGCTTTCTAACGATCACTAAAACTATACGTATTAAAACGAAGGCAAAAAAATTAATTTTTCTCAGCTCATATGTACCTTCAGCACAAATACATTGTTAATCAGAAAGAAATCAAATACGTATTATTAAAAATAATAAAACAATAATGCATAATTCAGTTAGCTAACAAATCAGATCTATAAATTAATGTCACTGTTTATAATGTGACCAGATCTCTCGTTTCGATATGATTGAATACAGTATCTAAAGTTTCGTTTGGCGGGCCTTCTGCAATCAATTGTCCAGACTGCATGACTATGACACGTGAGCATAAACGACGAACTGATGCAAGTCGGTGGGCTATGAGTATTATTGTGGCTCCTTGAAATTCTTGGTCAAGGACTTGCTGTTTGTATGGAAAATGTAAAACACTGTTACATAAGTGTTCTTGGTATAGTACATTTTGTTATTAAGTGGGGAATTAGTCATTAGTAGGACTTATACAAGCCAGTAGTTACTTTTTCAACTTATTAGCAAGGAAGAAAATATCAGAATGTAATCTGCTCATTCAAATATATTTTTATCACGAGAAATAATGATGAAGAAACAAAGTTGAAGATTGTAATTTATGCAATAAAGGTTAACCTATATACTGAGTAATTTCTGAACATTACGAACGCAATGAGATACATCAAGTTTGTATTTTCGTTTTAATCAATTAACAAAACACGAGGATATTATAACAAACAAACTGAGAAACTAGTTATTCTTATCTTATACGTTGATGACTTGAGGTTATAATTAAAATGTTACTGAAACATGGCGAGGTAGTTGACACTGACAGGTCCGTAAATCTAGACCATACGATTTCACGATCATTTAATTTAAGACAGAAAGAAAAGTGCCAATTAACTAATAAAATACAAGCAAAGCGGGTAGTAATGTAATGAACACAATTTTTTAATTTCCTCTTTGAATTTATGGAAATGAGTTAGCTGTGTATGTCAATCTGATAGTGAAAGAATCCAAAAAGAACCACATCAATACGTTATCTGAAACTGAATATCTTAATGTCGAAATTACAGATAAATACTTCAGCTGGTTGGAAATCACAGAATATAGAATTCGATTAATTAGATAATGGAAGAAAGGATTACACAATAAAAAGATATGAGAGCTATAACATCTGAACTGTTAACAAGAATGTAAATTTCAGCAATTATGATCCAACTAATGGGAAAAAAGTAATTTAAACCGGGTTTCGTTCAATAGCTAAGTCAAAGATATATCACAATCTGGATTCTCTGTGAATTAATTCAGACATAATAGCTGCATCATAATCGAATACCTTCTTTATATTCGATTTTATCTACCATACGATTGTTATCAACCAAGTGTTCTAAGATATTACTGCGTATTGCCATTCGTTAGTTAAGTTGCCTGGTAGTACGCCCAATATAGTTATCTCCACAACGGCTGAATTTGTAAATGAACACTTATCCGCTACAAAAGAAATCTGGTTAGATGTCTCAAGAACAGAACAAAAAAGATTTCAGATGATACTACAAAGAAGGAGTTGGAGTTTATTAATAAAATACTGACGGAGATCGGCTACCCGAGAAAATTCTTAAAGTACATGGACGCGGGGTAAAAAGTTGGAGATATTGACCACGAAACTTCGATGGAAATTTGGCTGGCGATGTCCTGCATGATAGGGCCAGCGAGGGCAATTAGTAGGATATTTTATGCAAGTAATCTTGTGTTGAAATTCTCTAATAGATAAGTGACGTCTACTCAAACAATGGATAAGTTACCTGAGTCTGCCTCCTCAATGTGCATTTACAAATTCAGCTGCTTTTGTGGAGATAGCTATATTGGGCGTACTACCAGGCAACTTAACTAACGAATGAGTGAGCATCTCCCGCCCAAACAAAGACAATACGCAGCAATATCTTGGAACACTTGGTTGATAATAGTTGTATGATAGATGAAACCAAGTCATTTCGAGTGATCTATCGTATACCTTTTTGCAACAAGCTGGAGCATGCTATACAGTAAAGTCTGGACAGTAATGTTACATAATTAGTTAATTTATCAATTAATGACTAACACAGAATGAAATCTTACATGAATAGTTTCTTCACATTTATTGTCTACTGAAGCAGTGGCTTCATCTAAACAAATGATTTTTGGCCTAGGTTGACGAAGTAAAGCACGAGCTAAACAAATTAATTGCCTTTGCCCGGCAGATATATCTCGTCCTGATTCACCAACTTCACGAAGTAGCCACTGAGAGGCTTGTAAACGACTTGTAGCCAGTTGACATTTCAATAAAACTTCTTCTAATACAGAATCATTTAGTTTACTGGCAGTAATTTTTTTTAGGAAAACAAAGATAAGTGGAAGTGTTAGGATTATGAATAAATGTGGTAATAATAATGACTGAACTTAAACAAAGAAAGGTTAGGAAAAACTGGCGATACAGCCTTGAAGAGTTAGATGATGGTAGAATGTATAGACCGTTTCTTATCCTATTTCAGGATCTGCCACTGTTTTATTGTTTCAAATATCATAGAATAAGTTCGTATACTATGGTACTATCATTATAAATGATAGTTGGTATTGAATACACTAGTAGGATATAATCTATTTAACTTACCTTCTATTGACATTATAATGTACGAATTTAACCCTATGGATGAAATACTTATCATTGGTTTGATAAAAATCCCTACTGGGAAAGTAACAATCACATCTTTCCTTATAATTTGGTCGTTGTTGTGATGTCTACTGGTGTGTGAATAAGATTAAAAAAAGTAAGCGACAACCAATCTAGGACGTTCCATCAGTTCATTTAGTCATCAATTGTTGGATGGAGTCGTGTTAGTACGTTTAGATTACCTAGTTAGGGTCAGCACCATTATCGTAACGAGTCGCTGGAGCTGTCAAATGACATGATTTAAAATCGGTCACAATGATACGGATGCAGTCACTCTTTGTATTGTTTTGGATCTTGAGTTTTATGATCATATTACGCTCTTTTATCCCGTGAACTTATTTTTCCTCGAATCATACTGTCTATACCTGATATTTTCTATTAAAATTAATACCGTTACTACGGCTATTACTATGGCATTTCTTTTGATAATTTCACCTCCACGAGCTGATATGGTATGGAAACTTGAACCGATGCACGGATGTGCCAGTTTCTACGTTACTTACAACTGACTGACGTGATTAGTTAACGATGTGATACGGGATTCAATTTCGGCGTAAGTTAGTTTCAATATTAATAAGTTAACAATGTTTAATATGATAAGATTATTCACAATAGAGGAAAAATAATTCCTAGTGAACATACTTCTCAGGATCTAGATTATCCCGTAAACACCCAGAAAAGAGAAATGGTTCCTGACAAATAGTTAGAATTCGAGAACGAAGTAAGGTGAGAGGGATAGTGCGAACGTCTATTCCATCGACAAACACCTTGTAAATGAAAAATAGTTAAGGGAAAGTGAAGTATGGTAATACTAAATAATAATAATAATAATAATAACAGTGAAGAAAATAAAGTACATGATCGACGAAGATTTTGATATAATTTGAATTAGATAACAAATAAGTTGCTAAAACGAAGTGAATAGGTGAAACTTATTTTCTGGGAAATCAGCATGTATATTTGATGCATCAGGTGGAAGTGAGCTGTGATTAGTCAATGAAGGTTGAAAAAAGGCCCACTACAATTTTTTGCATAAATCCCTATGCTTATACCGACTCTGGTTTGCTACTCGGATTTTCACTGGATGAGGACTGTGCTTAATTGTATCAAACAAACTATTGTATGACCTATACTCTGGTACTCTGTGTTTAGTTTTAGACGATTGGTTGACATCTTGCGAATGAAGTATTTATTGTATAGTTCTCAGATTTTACTAAGAAGTTCTGTAATTTTGTATTCAAATACATTTGATTGTCCCCGCTTGTGTTCTCGTTCACTACAATAGTAGGCAAGGGATGAAAATCATAACACGAGTAACATATGGATAAAAAATATATAATTAATTCTAGTCTTGCATTCACGTCGTAAGCTGATTTATGAAATCAGTTGACAAAATAAATTCGGGCTTCGTCGAAAGACTACCTAATTTTCAAACATCCGTTTGAATGTTCGAATTCCATTTTGATTAGCCTAATGCTATAACTCTCAAGTGTGTGAATTAGATCAAAGTATATAAAGTTGAACTTTTCTTGTCGAGATAAAGATTGTTGGTTCAACTTGGTTGCATCCTAACTTTTAAATTTATTGAAATTCTTGGAATTTTGAACAGGTGCATCATTAGTATAGTGAGTAATTTTGGATTTGATATAACGAAAAGTGGAGTATCGTGGGTTTATTTATGATATGATAAGTAACTTAATCACATTCTTTAAGTTGAATATTTTAGACATGAATAATAATGTAAATTCCTTAACGTATTCAGTTAATTAGGGAGTGGTCCCGCCTTTTGAGATCTATTCTCATGATATTTGGAGAACGATTCCATAAGCAAATGACGAGTTCGAATATATTAGTCATTTTAGTAAATTTACAAAACAATTAAGCTCCCACAATATTTAGTGATACTTTGTATGATGGAGACCGCAGCTCGACAATTAGATTACATCAAAATTTAGAAGATGGATATAATTAGTTCAACATTCTACACAGAAAAATGATTGAAGGAATACAAGCAAAAAAATTACAGGGTTGTCAACTACAGTCGTGAATATCTTGATCAGAGGAAGTAACACGCTCATTCAAAACATAGGTACAGTAAACCAATGTTTATTTAAAATGAACTCAAAATCAAGAATGACTTAAGTATGATGAATGTATTCCAAAGTATACAACGTGAGGCAAAATAAATATATTTACACATAAAGTAAATCTATGTACACGATCAAGAGGGTAGATGATATTCAACACAGCCTTTAATCTGGGATGGCTTTCTAAATGTTCTAATCTCGTTAGAAAACATTCATTGGTCAACGGCCAATGGAAATGATACGATTGACTACTGGCAAAACCACGGGGGTTGATATGAAGGACGATCTCAAAGCTAACATCTTACTTTTAACGCAGGAACATTCTACACATCCCATTTCTACTAACCATACCATTATTTCATACCAGACAAACATGGCTAGTAACTGCTCGGATTTTTTGTGTTACTGAAGATCAGATCAATTCTGATGATAGTTCGCCATAAGCTCTGATTTCACTAGTTGTGTTTGAGTAGAGAGCCTTCATGAGGTTAATGGTGCTTGTTTAGTACTACTTTCAGTGACAAACACTGCCACAGAACCTCACGATCAACAGAGTCAAATGACGTCATAAGGTCGAGAAATACTACTTCTACCAGGAGATTCACTTGTTGACTTAGAATATACTGATGACAGTTTTATTTGGTGAAGACGCTGACATAATGCAGAGTCTTCTTATCATTATAAGCAACTATGCAGGCATGTTCAGGATGCGATTCTCTCCCTTGAAATTCAAAATGTTACTTCAGGATTGGGTTGCATCGACACCTGAACTAATGATAGGGAGTGAAGTAGTTGAGCGTGTTGACCGCTTCACTTATCTTGAGAGTCTCCTCATCCCTTGTGGTCTGGTATGTGACGAAATCTCAGTACAGATACAGAAGGCTCGTCTAGCTTTTGCCAACTTCCGTCTTTTATGGCGTAAGCGAGATATTCGCCTAGCAACAAAAGGACGGGTTTAACGTGCAGCAGTTCGTTCCGTCCTACTTTATGGCAGTGAAACACGGCCGATAAGAGTAGAGGATATTCGTAGGCTACTAGTATTTGATCATAGGTGTCTTCGAAGCATTGCTCGTATATCCTGGGACCACCGAGTAAGTAATGCAGTTGTTAGGAAACGGGTACTAGGTAAGGGTGGAAAATCGATTGATGAAGTAGTGAAACTTCATCGGTTGAAATGGCTGGGATACGTATGACGTATGCCCAACCACCGACTGCCCCGACGTGCAATTTTTCATGGTGTAGGAATGAGTTGGAAGAAAGCTAGGGGCGGCCAGACCAAAACGTGGCACAAATCCATGAAGTCGCTGACAAGTGGACTGAGTCATGTTGGTAGTTGTAGACTACCTGGTTGGGATCCGCGAGACGATAGCAACGGATGATTAGAGACCTTAAACGACATGGCTCAAAATCGTTTGCAATGGCGCAGGTGCATCCACTCTTTGTGATCTCGCAAATTCTAATCTTCTGAATTATTCATGTCTCTAACTTTTTTCTCTTTCCAAGTTTATTTCACTGGGTCATACTTCTTGAATAACATCTTCAAACCCTAATCTTTCAGATTACTGCTTATACTCTTACTACTTCTACCACTATGGGATTTGAATCAACAACTGCATCTCTGTGCTAATGTGGTATGGCAACTCGAACTGATGTACGTACGTACGAAGTTCTAAGTTGTGACTGACTGAAGATCAGTATAATAAATTTTATTATATTTAGTGATGATATATTAGTATCACAAAGTACCATTTTGGATGTTCGAAGGTATTATCAAGGATTTATTATATTGTTTATTAGAAAGCGTACAACAGAGAAACTTGAAATAAACTAAACAAACGTAACATACCTGACCGGTGGCACCTATAAATCCAGTTTGATTGGCTATATATTGGTTTGTATAAGGTCCAGGGAGGTGGTCAACCAGACGTAATAATACTTTGATGAGACTACTTTTACCAGATCCTGTGCGGCCAACAATTCCAACACACTCACCGGGTTTAATAGTAAAAGTGACATCGTCAAGAGCTTTAACAGATTGGGAGTTTTGACGGTAAGTAAGCGAAACATTGTTGAAAAAAATGGATCCAGATGCTGGCCAGTTAGGCAGTAGTCCGGTAGGATAAGCAATACCACTTTTCCTCTCTTTCGGTAAACGAAGGTGATTGTGAGACGAGGAACGAGGTTGAGGCCCCTTCAAAAGAGTAATTACACGAATATGAGGTGATTCCAAATCGTTTTTATAAAAATTGTAACAAATAACATTTAACACAGCAATTTAGTATTCCCATTTCCGTAAGAATTAGAAAGCGTATCTTACATTTATATGTTGGATAAATGGTTTAAGAGCAGGCAGATCTGATAATCCTGTTCAACGAAGGAGGTAAGTTGATCAACTTTATAACACTGTTTCTTAAAGGGCTGCCCAGGCTTCGTATTTTGTAAACTTATTGAAGGTTACTGAACTCTTTTTTGTGGTAATATGAATTACAAACATGAATTCAATCACCTAAGCTACAACAATTCGTAGATGAGGAAGCTGACCGAGGAGAAATTTGGAACTGTCCAACCATTACTGATTTCAGGAACGAGAGCTTTATTATTGTCCGCTTTGTGTAACAATCTAACAGGGAGTGGTTAAATCCGCAGACCATCTTCAATACATGGCACGGTGTTCTCATAGGTCAATCGCTCAGGTTAGTGACGTATATATTTATACGCAGTGAAATGTCGGGTGTTATGCCGAACTGTAATATCGTATCACATCCCGTAGCGGAAATTTCGAGTATCAAATGGATGGAGATAATGGTATAAAACAATTTCTCTTCACCACAACGGATTGAATTGATTTCTGTTTTCGTAGTAACGGTGTTAATCTACGCTTGGAAACAACGTTTTTCAAGTTAAATAACTTACTTGTCTTGACTTTGGTCACCTTAAGTCTCAGTAATCAACAGCCTAGGGATTAGTTTAGAAATTTGTCTGTAGATAATTAATTTCTACAGTACGAGTTCGCAAACTGTTATGCTTGAGGCTAAATCGATTCCACAGTAACGAACGAAAGCCGATGACACAATGACACGATAAGCTATTCTAATCTGTCGTCCCAGGCCCCGCTAACTAGGTGAAAAAGTCCAAGGCAAGTAGGGGAATATATATGTATTCTGGTAGCAACCGAGTACAAGCAATCCAATAAGGGAAAAAGTCAAGCGCATTTATACAGCAACAAATTGTCCTTGAGCATCATTAGTAAATAGCACACACAAAGAAACAATGGGCCAATAGCGTTTAAGATAGTTTACAAGTGGGAAATATGACGTGAAGGTAAAAAGAGCGCGTTTGGCGCGAAAACAGCTAAATTCAAATTTCCAAAATGAAATTACAAAACTAAGCCATTTACCCAGTAAGTTCTGGGGATTTGACATCCCCAACACAAACAATATTAGTAATATGAATAAAACTCCATCGAAATTAAATCTAATTATTTTTAAAATGACCTTAAGTATATAATATCCTGTGGGGACGAATATATTACATATATAGCTAGTAACTATTTACATCAAATTGTTAGAATTAGACTGACAAACATATACAAGAAATAATTAAATACAATTCTAAAAGAAATTTATATATAACTAAAAGAGGAATAGTAAACTATGGGCTAACCGTGGGTTTAATTGATACAATATCGTGTTCGATTGGAGTATCATCAGTTAATTCTTGACAACGTTCTACAGCTACAAGATTTTTTTCTGTTTCAGTCATATCATATACAACACTAGTCATTAAACCAGAAATATTAAGTGCATACACAACCGACAAACCAATGGTAGCTACCTGAAATGAATAAAAAAAGGAATTTTGTTGTTTAGTTTGAGATTGGTTGTATTTTATCGAATCTTAGGGACTTATTGAACTGTCTGTGAAACATATCGTTCGTAAGGTGGAGTTAGAGTTCTGCAAACCATGCATTGAAAACCTTAATGATTGGTTAAAGTTATCAGAGAGAGAGATGGAGAAAGTAAATTGCGCAATCCAACCAATTAAAAATGATACCATGAATGTTTACCATCTTAAATTGGTCGAAATTTTGTTTATGGTTTCTGCATGTTTTTACATGTTAACTACCATAAGATCAAAACATTCTAATCTATACGTAGAAACGTAACTGTTATCCATGATTTTGTGCAGTTATACATTACTGTTAAGTATAGTGTATGTACTATCTTATTTAAACTATTATATTTATTTAAAACTACTGCACTGATTATATTAATTTGATTTTAGAAACAGACGAAATAATAAAAATAAGCTGTACATGTTTTTAGTAGGATTTTCAAACAGATTCAGATTTGACAGAAGCATTATGTGTTGTGATGAAGCAGGAAATTTGTAAGTAAGTTGTACACAAGTAAGCTCAGCACTCAATCATTAAATGAATGCGGAATCAAATTAACTATACCTAGCTTGGCTTTAGGGGTATATTATTTTACTTCTGTACAAAATACGTGACTTATGAATAACTAGTGGTATTGCAACAAATTAATAAAGTTTAGATCCGTGCCGTGTGTCCAGGTTCGGACAACAGTATTTGGCCGTGAGAAATGGTGATACTACCCGAGAGTCGAGACTGAAATAGGTAGAACATGGTTGAAAGTAGTGTTTTAACTATTGGGTTGTTGCCGTACGTAAAAACGATGTGTACAAACTCTGATTCATTGAATTTCGTATCTTTGTGGTAATCGTATTAAGATGAAATAATCTAGTATGCATACAGATATATACATATGAGGTGGATGATACCCTATCAAGTACCTACACTCATTAATTATATCATCAATTAGATGTCTGTAGCTTTCAATAAACGCCACTTCTTATCGGAAATTGAACCACCTAACCTCTGATTAAACAATGACAAGTTTTAATATGATTTCAATTGTGTTGTCACCTAAGCTAGATGGTTAAATTGCAGAGCTTTCATTGTATTCCTGGACAACATCAGCGTCTACTCTATGTAGAAGTGAGTTTGGCTGCTATTCTACAAGTGCCATATCAGTTTATTCCAATGGCCTTGTTTGTGATTGTCTGTCTTCGTCGACTTCGGTTTTTTCCATTTGTCATTGTATTCACCATGAGTGTTTTTATTGTTTGACCCCCAACCTTGTGATTGATTAATCACTTATGTATACGTTTATAGATTGGGTGTCTATCACAATCCAATTTCAATCAAAAAAACTAATAAGAATTCGAAAAATTCACGGCGAAATTTGTTTGAATTTTATTGTGATAAGACAACTCCTTAAGATTACACTATTCATTATGCACTTCTTAAAACCACTAGATGACTAAAACCATAATTTATACCTACGATCAAATTAAAATATAACATGGTTAAAAGAAATGACTCAATGTAAATCATTGATATGGAAATATAGTTGAGTACATTTTTAATGATAAACGAACTATAACTTACATGTGTCCAATCAAATAATCGACCAACTAATGATACAATGATCACACCAGTAATCACAGCACTGCCAATTAATTGTAGTCTAATACTTAACCAACAACTAGCAGCCAAGCTAGCTAACTCAGCACGTATTTGATCAGATAATTTACAAGCTGTTAATTGTCGAAAACGGATTTCTTGACCTAAACCATGTATTACTGCTAATCCAGATAAAGTATCAGTATAATGATTATAGACAGGTGAACGAACAATACTGGGAATTGTGAATAGTAATAATATCAACATTAATAGAAAACATTTAAATTTAAAATAAGACAAAAAAGAAGTAAAATAATGCATAATTTTTTTCTAGATAACTGGTTTATGAGATTAGGTATAACTAATAAGTAATTATTCAGGAAAAAGTTTAAATAGGACGAAACGCGCGTCCTGGATTCCACTGCTAGCCACTATCCATCTCTGCTTACCATGCTTGTGAATTTAGGCTATACGTACAGTATGCACACATGCCAATTAGAGACTGACCAGTTGCAGTCCTAACACATCGATGGGAAGATTCAAACAAACAATACTAAGTGAATCTAAACTTCACCACATTGCACAAGCAAGTGGCTATCAGGACTCAGTAGCCGAGTGGATAACGCCATGGCGTTTGAAGCGATAGGTACTGAGTTCGAGTCCCAGAGTGCACATCAACTCTGAGATGCAGGTACATCCAGCCGACGTGTCCCGAATAGGACGAAACGCGCGTCCTGGATTCCACTGCTAATCAATATCCATCTTTGCTTAAAAACAGTTAGTTACATAACCAATATCGTTCAAAATAAATTTATGGTAAAATGATTTTGACTAGATACTTATTTTCGAACATTAATTCAAACATGTATTTTAAAGTAAATGAGTTAACCTATATGTAAGTTATGTATACAATGCAAGCAATATTATCTAATTTTTGAAATTTGTAAGAAGGCAAAGAGTGAAATATATAAATTCAGGAAGTGATCGATAGCGACACGAAAGTTTTAATTTGTCTGGCTAAGCTTTTCTGTCAATAAATCATATTTGAAATAGAAAGTAAATTATATTTTTATATAGTTGAGATCATGAGTCAATTGAAGCTAGACAATAATGGAAAACCTGGAAGCAATGGACGGCCGTTTCACCCCATTGTGGGACTCATCAACAGTGTGCATTCACGATCCTGCCCCACGGGATTCGAACCCAGGATCTACCAGTCTCGCGCCAGAGCACTTAACTCAACCATATAAAAATTACTAAAATCTCCACAAAACCCCTTTCTGATAGTAAACTATATGTTGAGCAACCGATATTTATAAGTATGCTGTTCGTCGTACAAGTCTATAATATACACTAAAAGTTATAGTTGTATTCCAAACAAGCATTGAAATTAATATGATAAAAATTGTTAGATCAATTGAAAAATATTTGTGTGTACGGTAAGAAGTGTTAGTTATGCAATGAATGGATTTGTAAGTGTTATAACATATAAGTGCCCAATTTAATATATGAACGTGGGTGTGCGTGCGTGTGCCCTATTTGCTATATATGAACGCCCCATTAGAGAGGAGTGAATTTATTGATCGCCCAATGACACACAAAAGCCGTATGATCAGCCTTGAGTACTACTCGGTCCTGCTATCTGCCTAGCTCAGCCAGTTAAGTCCTGAACACCAATAACAGCCTCTGCAATATGAATCATTATTCACAAACATACTAGGTTTATATACCAAACAAACAGACCACATCGTACCATAAAATAGAAAATAACATTTGTACAAGATTTGGCCAAATGTGGCTGTGAATAGGGGGAAAGTAATCAATAGACTGATGATAACTCAAGAATCGTATGATAATAAGTCAAGGTCAAAATAAAGCTAATGATAAGAGGAACACGAATATGAATAGTTTAGTTACGTAACAAGTATACAATAGGAAATAGACGTTCCAGAAGCCCATTGGGTACTTGAGCAGCGGTTGGGTGAAAGGAGAAGTCCGTACGCCATGAAAACGCTGCTAGGGTGGATAGTCTTTGGACCTGCATCGGATCTGGACTTTCGAAAAAGACTCGGTGATAATACAAATATGACACAAAAGATAAGGGTCCAAGTACGTAAGCCTGAAGATGGAAAATCTGCTGATATCCATTCGAGTGATGAATCAGTATCAGAAGAAGATGCGAATGCACAGATTGTGGGCATGAACACGTGCTCCGAGAATAGTCATTTTGTGGTCCCGATACCTCGTAAAAAGATTACGAATATGAAAAACGGAAACTATGAAGTAGTAGACAGGGGATTGCAGCGTAGATTGTCCAAGGATAACAACCTACGAAACAGAGATCACAAAGGTTTTGAGACCAATGTCACTGCGGGCTATACACAGAAGGACCCCGAAGAAAAATCGAGGTCATGTTGTCGCACTCGTCATACAGTGTCGAAACTCAACAAGCCAGAGAATCAGGGAATGGTTTTTGATTGTGCTATCAGGCTTAATACAGTCCCCCTTTATGATACGAGTTATCTAAAACCTAACATCACGACCGAGCTAGATTCTAAGCATATAAGAAGGGGAACGAATAACACGAAGATGTAAGCTAACAAACGAGGTAAAGAGAATCGTGAATTACAGAGAGAGACAGAAATTCTTGAAAGGGAACTTAATAAGTATGAACGTAGTCATGATGCTTACAAGACTCACCTTAGTGATTATCACGTTTTAGAGAAAAGGCTACAAGAAACGAAACGAGACCTTGAGGTGGAGAAATTACTTCGAACCGATTTGGAAAACAAATTCCTCATTCTTAAAGACTAGTTAAATATAAAGTTTAGATTGTTCGATGAATGTGAAATATTATTTGGTCACGGTTTTACAATTGAGAAAGCGGTCGAAGGATGCAAGCAAGGTGATTATGATAGTCAAGGAACTGAGGAGCTTAGATCGATTCGCAGTCAAAGTGCTTCTGAATTAGTAGAGTGTAAAACGCAGATGGAAGGAATCTTTGAAATCAAAAGTGGACGACTAAAGACATCAGCCGACATCGGTAGTGAAGATGCAGGTGACCGGCGGTCTGAGTTGTTACTAGCTTGCAAACGTGATAACAAAATTTCTCACGATTTATCTAATAAAGTTGCAGAACTGGGATGGCTTTAACGAAGAGTAGACTGCCTTGGGTCTTCTGTAGCCAAGAAGAGAGACATGTTATTTGCAGCTTCAGATATTTCGACCCGCGGAAAGTGGCCCTTAGGAGTAGTTGTAGGTTGTAAGACAGACAACGACGGGAAGATTAGGACAGTAACCGCTCTAATGAATAACAAATTAGTGAGTGTGGACGTATGTAAGGTTCCTTTTAGTCACTTGTAAATACATAGGGAGGACGGGTAGGGTACTGCTGTATGTCCTACTCGTTCCTATAGTGTGGATTATAATGTAAGGTGAACCATGACGTAAGGCATCGGAATGGCTTGCGTTGTATGGAGGGATTTTGCGGGCCGGTGTGAGATCTATTTTGAACGTTTCGTATGTGAAAATTCCTCCATGCATACATTCATAGCTTCTTAATTTTTTCTTTATTTGTACATTATTGTTATTATTTTTGATTGTGATGTTTCATTTCATAGTAGTTTTCTCAGTTTTTTCTGTTGCTTTCATTGGGTTTCTATATTTCTTCTTGAACTGTATCTAATTTGTTTTAATTGTTATTATTCCGGCGGCTGCCACATTGAGTGTTCGCTCTTTGATTGTGCTGTTTGATTTGACTGGAATCGTGCATTTTCATTGTAAATTGGAGCACTTTCCCAGAATTTGAAACACTTTGTGTTATAGAGCAACCTCTCAAACGGAATTTTTACTTGATCTATCCAGAAAGGATAGAATAACACTTACTTTTTGGTGTGTTCGGTAAATTTTCATATATTTCTTATCACTTTGTTATTTATTGTAATTTAGATTGATTATTTAAGCGCTTAAATTGGAAAGTCGATGGTCTCAAGTTAAGAGAGAGGGTATCTGCTTCGCGTGTGGGTTTTTCCTCTGAGCTGCTGACTGTCAAATCATCGTGCAATAGTGGGTGATGTTTTTTCGTACTTTTGTTGACGGTACAGCGCTTCCTCAATCTACATTCGTTAGCCTTATGACCTTGTTTAAGACACGCTGCATTCGCCTTGCCCTTACAATAATGTATCATGTAGAGCAGACGTTGACTATCATCACTGACTCTCGGTGCGACGTAAGTCTCAAACTGTCTAATAAACCTCCAATACTGTTTCGGTTGTCCGTCAAAGTAACCTAGTCCAACCTTTGGTAATTCTAGACTAACTAAGGGAAGTTCAGGCATGACATTCTGCTATGATTTCTCAGACCTTCGCTTTTTATTTAAACTAAGATTTTCTAGCTCATCTGCAATTAAATCACAACTAGAATCACTATCATTATAATTAGCCCTAACTGTATCTGAACCATGAGACATAAAGACATCAGAAGGCACTTGCTTTGTACAAAGGGATTCGTCGCTTAATTTGGGTCCATCAGCATCAACGAGCTTGGAAATTATCTTATTTTGACGAAGTTTTGTCATCTCGAACGAAGCGACCAAATTTCAGGAAACCAAGATTGAAATGTAGAACACGATAGCGAAGAGGCTTCAACCAATCGATATTTGTTTAGAACTGTAAAATCCAAACCTAAATTCCAATAGGTCTGGCTGCTGAATAACTGTAGAGTAAAAATAAATACACGCGCATACTCCAATCGAAATCAGAACAAGATGATTGGGGGTAATAACGGTTCTAAAATTCATCATATATACAAATTTGCCTAAACAAATATTACGACACAGTTATTCAACCAACAATTGATCCCAAAATAATCAATCTAAATTACAATAAATAGCAAAGTTTAGGAGGGGATTTGTGGAGATTTCAGTATTTTCCAAAGTTGAAATCATGAGTCAATTGAAGCTAGACCACCATCGAAAACCTGGAAGCACTGGACGGTCGTTTCGTCCTACTGTGGGACTCTTCAGCAGTGCGCATCCACGAACCCACTCTCGCGGGATTCGAACCCAGGACCTAACAGTTTCGAGTCGAAGCCCTTAACCGATAGACCACTTAGCTGGCAACCAACGGTGTTAATGTCTAACTTCAACTGATCCACTAGTGACTGACTTCAAGATACATGTCCTGGAGTTCTAGTGGGAAGCAGTGACCAGTGGAGTTCAACCACGTCCGTTGTGAGATATCAACTCACTGAAGGCAATTGGTTAATGGTTGCTCAACTTCGTGGATCAGTTGAAGTTAGACATTAACACCGTTGGATGCCAGCTCAGTGGTCTATCGGTTAAGGGCTTCGACTCGAAACTGGTAGGTCCTGGGTTCGAATCCCGCGAGAGTGGGTTCGTGGATGCGCACTGCTGAAGAGTCCCACAGTAGGACGAAACGACCGTCCAGTGCTTCCAGGTTTTCGATGGTGGTCTAGCTTCAATTGACTCATGATTTCAACTTTGGAAAATACTGAAATCTCCACAAATCCCCTCCTAAACTTTGCTATTTATTGTAATTGTGTACATACAGCAGTACGCTACCCGTCCTCCCTATGTATTTACAAGTGACTAAAAGGAACCTTACATACGTCCACACTCACTAATTTGTTATTCATTAGAGCGGTTACTGTCCTAATCTTCCCGTCGTTGTCTGTCTTACAACCTACAACTACTCCTAAGGGCCACTTTCCGCGGGTCGAAATATCTGAAGCTGCAAATAACATGTCTCTCTTCTTGGCTACAGAAGACCCAAGGCAGTCTACTCTTCGTTAAAGCCATCCCAGTTCTGCAACTTTATTAGATAAATCGTGAGAAATTTTGTTATCACGTTTGCAAGCTAGTAACAACTCAGACCGCCGGTCACCTGCATCTTCACTACCGATGTCGGCTGATGTCTTTAGTCGTCCACTTTTGATTTCAAAGATTCCTTCCATCTGCGTTTTACACTCTACTAATTCAGAAGCACTTTGACTGCGAATCGATCTAAGCTCCTCAGTTCCTTGACTATCATAATCACCTTGCTTGCATCCTTCGACCGCTTTCTCAATTGTAAAACCGTGACCAAATAATATTTCACATTCATCGAACAATCTAAACTTTATATTTAACTAGTCTTTAAGAATGAGGAATTTGTTTTCCAAATCGGTTCGAAGTAATTTCTCCACCTCAAGGTCTCGTTTCGTTTCTTGTAGCCTTTTCTCTAAAACGTGATAATCACTAAGGTGAGTCTTGTAAGCATCATGACTACGTTCATACTTATTAAGTTCCCTTTCAAGAATTTCTGTCTCTCTCTGTAATTCACGATTCTCTTTACCTCGTTTGTTAGCTTACATCTTCGTGTCGATATGTAGTTCTGTTAGCGAGTTTTGACGAAAATGAAACTTGGACACAGATTTCACGATCAATAGACTGTGAACGTCTAGTGTTCAATGAATTAGAAGAACTCTCAATGTCCCAGCAGGCTTCTAGAAATATGGTATTCAGATCAATCGACCATCAGTAAATATATCGACATGCATCCAGTAAATGATATTATACAGAAGTGATCGATCAATCACGAGATTGGGGGTCAAACAATAAAAACACTCAGCGTGAATACAATGACGAATGAAAAGAACCAAAATCTACGAAGACAGACAATCACAAACGAGGCCATTGGAATAAACTGATATGGCAATTGTGGAATAGCAGCCAAACCCACTTCTACATAGAGTAGACGCTGATGTTGTCCAAGAATACAATGAAAGCTCTTTAATTTAGCTATCTGACTGAGGAAACATAATATCACCAAAAGCATTCACATGTAAGTTTCATCACAGACATATTACATAGAGTATCACAAACATCTATTTCATCTTGCTTTGAGACTACTTAGGAGTGTACATCAAATGAGATCAACGTCGAGAACTCCAAGTCTAATAGTAAGCACTCAAATCCACACATACATTACATTTGTCGATTAGTGAAATTCAAATAACGCCGAGGGGTATAGCGAATCATTTCCCAATTGTGAATCAGCTATTAAATAAACATAATTCATGTATGTCCATGAGATATTATTATCACTCAAATGTTTTACTATACCGATGAAAATTCCGAAAAGTCTCTTAAATTAGGTGTCTGATAATCCAGTAATTTCATGAAGTATAAAATCAAACATACAACTCTTAAGCACTAATTACTGAACTTGTTCATAAGATTAAGTGGATATGTGGGTCTAATGGTTGATAAATTAAACTATCAACTGTATGGTTACAATTTACAAACTAGTTCCACTTACCTACTGGCATAGTAGTGTGACTAGAGTACATAGTTAAAGCGTAGCTCAAAACTAGGGAGATGAACAAGTAATTAATTAATAGGTCACAAAAATATCTATAAATACTTTAATTGAAATATCGACAATAATATGTATTCGATTGGGTCAGTTAAAGACAATTAGTACTTTGAAAACAAATAACCTATTTCTCGATTAGCATCAATTTTTAACTTTCACGAAATCATTGTTACGTTGTATAACAAACAAATTCTAACAATTATCTTATCTCGAAAAAAAATTACACATTACAGAGGTATCTAACCTTCACTTAGTTTATATACAAGTCGTAGGTTTAAATTTCACCTCATTTACATAAGGCAGTCAGAATAAATAATAAACTTTTAAGTAAATAAATGAAACTGATAATCTATAGCATAAATCGGCGTAATCAAAGTGAACTATATTAGTTCAATAACAATAATAATAATCGATTGAGATAGGTAATCAAGATGAATTGGTACGGTCTTATAACGGCATTTACAAAAATGTATTAAAACGTAAACAGAATTATTGCCATTATCAGTGGAAGTTTTAAAGTTTGTACAGATTTCCGACATTTAATAAACACTAGGAGATAAATCTTAAAGAGTAACATGAAAACATTATAAAGAGATCATAGAATAACCACGAGATTTAAAAAAATCAACCACACAATATAAATGTGAAGAGATATTAACCAATGACTGGTAGATTGATTATTATTGTAAAAGAAAAAAACAACGATAAATTAACTCACCTAGAAATTCGCTTTAGATCTCTAGCAGCTCCACGATATTGCCTTTGAATAGACCAGAAAATGAATACAAGCGGTAGCAGAAAGAAAATTAACGTTGGCAGTGATACACAAACAATAACTAATGCACCCAACAATCCAGCTAGACTGGCAAGTAGAATATTTAATTGAAATGGTAATGCGTCATCTACTGTACCAACGTCAGATGAGAAACGATTCAGAATACGACCTTGTGGTGTAGTATTAAAGTAATTAAGTCGTCCCTACAATGAGAGAGAACTATATGTAAAGACTACAAACGTCTCATAAGTGTCTTAGTATTTATGAAAGAATTTTGGTGAGCATGTTTGGAAAAATTGCAAGGCCGATAATTATGATAATTTACATATTTGTATGACGTAAGGAAAGGTTATTGGGTGTGAAATAGCAAGTATATGCCTTGGATAATTCTACAAACTTACAGTGTTAGTTATATTTTATTTGAAATGAAATCATAGTCAAAGGTTTAAAAGCAATAATTTGAACTACGTCTTCTAGTATAAGAATAAATTAGACGCTGAATAGTACTGATTTGTGCATATCAATTACCAGATTATTCAAACCACAGTGGATCGTTAAGGTTACTTGTCCCAAAGTCTGATATCGAAATCCCAACCTTAGTGTTATGTCTTCTACTGATAAGTACCCCTTGGAAATAATACTTCACCTCACTTGTCCCACATCTAAACAAGAATTAGAAGCGGACGAATACATATTCTGAAGTTTCGAATAATCAAACTGACTAGGAAAAAATTGTAGTTTATATACGGTCTACATTGGAAATTTTTAGCACATTCTTAATATAACCGCTGGGAGTGATTGGTTGAAAATGGAACAATTAATGAGATTTTTCCTGATCTAAGTATGAAATAATCAAAACTCTATTTTGCCAACATTTTCCCTTAAAGTATGCAGGGGTTCCTCGCTTCACAAGTGATAAGCGGTTCCGACATAACAATCAGCGACGACCAGATATAACAAAGTAGCGTTCAATCCACAAGATATATCAGAGTAGATAGACGTCCCTGTTAGTTGATTAACATAACGTGGCCATATTGATGAACCGACTGACATCTAATAGACCGCATTACCTAAACTTCACAAAATTCGACCGGCTACTTATTTAGAGTGTTTACCACGGTAATTCACAGCAAGTAATTTCTGATCCACAGTAAACAGCCGTCTTTGTGCCTCATAGCGTTGGTTGGATTGTTTCTCCGTGAGTCTGTTTTCTTGAGGCTTATGGACTAGTATCCAACGAGTGCCATTGAGTAATGCACGGATATGATTAACTCTATTCTGCTGACAAAAGTCAGTAAAGATGCCATACATAAACTGTACCTTGCTATCACCAATTATCGTTTCTGGAAACCTAAAACAATTGACTAGTTACCGTAGTATTCTTACTATAGAACCTTGACTTGGATGCTCCATGATAAAAAGCTCCCGGTCACTTGCTGCTGTTCCAGAAGATAAATTTCTTCGTGAAGTGGGCCAGAGAAGTTCAAGTGTATACGCACTGACACAGAGTTGATGATGTCTGTACATTAATCGATGCTGTTTGTCCGGTGCCAGCTCACAAGTCTCAATGGAGCAGATATATGGAGAAACACCCAACCAACATTATGAGACACAAGGATGATTGTTCACTGTGGGCTAGAAAGTGCTTACTATGGTCTATGAACAAGTAGGAGCATGCTGACTATTTTACTTTTAACCAATACGTGCCAGCGGTTATATTCAGAGGATACAAAAATATTCTTATGTTAACTGTATCTTTTATCCGAAACTTCGCTTACAATTCTTGCAGAAGGATAGATAACACATGAATGGACATAAGTTAGTGATCTATGGTTGCATGAGACAAATATTCGTCAAAAACTACTTCGTAAAAATGTTAGCCATTCATTTTCTCCATATTAATAAAACATCAAACAGTTCAGATGATGTATCTTTCAAATAAGTCAAGTAAACAGAAAGCGGTGAAAGTATAATGTACTGACGACTCTGAGGACTTTTGAACAAATGGGAACACAGCTGGTATGTAGGAATAATTTATCGTCAATTTATCATCAACTTACAATGTATATATAACTTTTGCGTGATTGATGAGCTTAGATTCTCAGTGAGATTAGCGACATTAGATTCATAGTATTTCTGGTATATAAACTCGTCCATATGACTCCATATCATTTTACCTGTCGATCTTTTATAAAGTAGAATAAATGTTTTAAGCCTAGCCCGCATAGCTTTTAAGTTGCTAGTGTGGACACAAGTTATTAAGTCTACAAAATGTCGCTTATGTATGACCACACGATGAACACGTCCATGTCTGTGAAGGCACCGATACGCTCTCTAGTAGTCTGCGTGAACTGCTTTTCCTGGTCAGCAAGAGTTAAAGATTTTCCGTTGCGAACATACTGAAAATGTCCTTTTCCTGTAGTTTTATCCAGAATTCCGAAAGTCTACTACTAAGATTGAGAAAACTAATATTGACCCAATCCACTTTCACATTGTCCTGCTATAATTTCGTTTTCGAACAATAGTTTCATCAATTTCCACGACCCTGCTAACACCTTTAAAGGATAAGTTCAGGTTCTTTAGCATATCAAAATTAATTTCTCGACAGTATTAATACCAATGTATTACTGTAGCTTTTGTTACAACTGGGACAGTTCCTTGCGATAATGATGCTTCTAGAATCCAGTAGACAACTAGTATGATTAGTAAGCAGTTCCATTCCCATTAAACATTCCAGAATGATATCATCATTAAAAACAGTAGTAGGACGATCGTACGTCAACACTTCCAATCAAGATATGTCGTCGTATCTTCAACCCTCCATTTGCAATTTGACTGATTCGTTCTAGTTAGTCAGTATATTATACTTTTAACGAAATTTTTTAAATATAAATGAATTAACGTTCACTTTTGTTTAGATCTAGTGTTTTGATATTCTTGTATATCTTCTTCTGCTTCAATTCTTAAATATACACATAATTATTTTAACTACTTTCATTTTCACCACGTTAAGTTTTTGTCACTTAAATGATAAGAAGTTTAGCAAATTAGATAATTGGAAATTTGTGCTGAATCCCACATTGTTTATGACTTAGTGGCTATTATTTTCATGGGTTTATGTTACGAATATCGATTAAGTCACTGCTGGACTAAAACTATCAGGAATTTTAAATGTACAGTGTAAGTGTATGGTTGGATTTTCAGCATGCATTATACTAACTTTACACAAGAATGTAAGAAAATAAATAGCAAGTATGATATTCATATTTTTCGTATATTTAATCAAAAGGTTTACGCAACTTCAGTGCCAGATGAGCAACACTATTTATAACTCACTAGATTATTCTATTATGTATTGTAAGGCGTTTAGTAATAGTGTAATGAACAAAGAGTTGGGGAAAGTAAACCAATTTGTTGTATTAAGTAAAATCACACACTGAATTTGTAAAATATGAAAACAATACATTATTTGCACACCTTCTTTGATCTGTCTCTTACAAACTCCATGATTGTTCCAGTCCTGTTGCTACTCTGACTGCTTTTGTCTTTCTCTCTCTTCTCATTTTCCTCTTCTGTCAGTAAGAATCCTACTCCCGACTCCTGATACATACTACTTATATCCGTTCGTATAAGTCGGAGACACCACCATACCATTTAAATGATTATCATTACTACAATAATAGTAAATTGACCTAGAAGATACATAAAGCTTATTAATAGTATGCAACACATTTTCAATACCTATTAAGAACGTAAAATCTCAAATTTATTTGACAAACCTCCAAAATTGTGTCCAAAGCAGATTCATGAACAACAGATGCAGCGACTAGACCGCCGAAAGCAAATAAAATAGCACGAAATATCGTAGCAATAAGATTACTAATCACTACAAATGCATAGATCTCTAAGTAATAATATCCCGTGATAGAATTAGGCTCACTAAACGGTACAACGGAATGTATGCTCGTTTGAAGCATTTCATTAATGGATGAATTGTAATTAACTGCAGATAAATTATGAGTTGAGTGAATATATTTATATTTCGTATGATTAACCGGGGATAATTCTAATTGGTAAGATGAACCTTGAAACGATGAGATTACTGCAGATAAATTCCCATTTTGTACCCAGTATGATAACCACCAATCAGATGCATTTCGAGTACCTATTATTAAAAGGAGGAATACACAACAAAATTAAGATTTAAGATATGCGACAGTGGTACATATACCAAATAAGATATTATAACTTAAGTAAATCACTTTTCTGTAAAGACGATATAAATATGACCATCGTTCAAAAACCTTCCGCTAATTTCAACACCAGTGGTCAATAGCTTGCATTTTCATTTTATTAATATTAGGCGCTGCCTATGCCTACATAAGTGAAGCTGGGTTCGAACCTGTAACCTATAGATCAGAAGGTCAGCGATGTTACCAGTTAGCTAATTTATCCAGTATTTTGTAAATATATGTTATATATATTATCGCTACATGAACAGTTACATGTCCCATTCAGAGTAAAACTAATTAAAGATATATAAGAATGAAAGATTTGAAATGACTGTCAGCAAATAACTGTCATTTCCTAAACCAGTATACTGGTATATTGGTTCGATTATAAATACTGAATTATTTGTGAAAATAAGAGTGTATCAATTAACCGAAATATTTTCAATACGAGTTTGTTTAGTTTATTTAAACAATGAATATGTTTGGGTTAATGAACAAATAACATATACTTGGTTTTCTACTATATAATCTATGTATTAAAAACTTAATTGAACTAAAATAAACAAACATATGTACATAAATGGATAAACAGTAGCGATACATCATGCAGTATAAATTTTTAGATAGTCAACTAAGTAATAGTATGAAAATAAATGCAGTGCTCTTTCGGCAGACATAAACAATATACCGTAGAATGTAACAGAATGACGCAATAGTTGGAGTCAGAACGCGAAGAATGTAGCAAAGAGAAAATCGATAAAAGTAGGTAGATTGATTTCGAGGCATATCACTTACTGAGGTCAACCAGTAAGGAACCCAAGACAGGAGGTCTATACTTTCTCATACAGGTTAGATCACGAGACAACGTTCGGAGCGAATACCGGTTTATACAACATTAACTTTCGTCAAACTGTGACGTAAAGCAATCAATTTATGGGAAGAAAAATCCACCCTCAGCCAGTATAAATCCCTGAACAAAACAACTCAGTAGATATGTGAATCCATTAATTTACTGTTTTCACATAAACTTAGTATTAAGACAATTACTTTCGTTCATATTTCTGACAATAACGGTTAACTAACCTCATAAACCAAAAGTTATAGATATACTATGGCTAATGACCTGTAAGACTGAAAGTTGTGCACACGGCTAATTAGTTATTTCTTAGTATCAAAGAAAAGTGAGAAATTGAAAGTTTTTGGTAAAAATCTTAATTTAGGATGAAACAAGTGGGCTTAATTTGCAATAAATACTCCAGGAAACGTTGACGATTTCGGTTGGCAACTGTTATAAATGTTTGAAAATGTTCTTCTACGACATCAGTCACTTAGCCATTCGTCAGTGTAGAATTATGATGAATAAAATAACTTATCGAATTTATTTACTCATGATAAACGAAATAATCTAATTACTGAATAACTCAATTAATACATACCTTGCATTAACAATAAAGATAAAATGATGGAAAATGTTAAAAAGTAGCCAACAGAATGAATATATGATTTATACACGTGGGGACTAATGGAACCGACTGCCATATGTTCTATATTTATATTCACATTGTTATTGTTATTATTATTGATTAAATAATTCGGACTGAATTCAGATTGATTGATACTGCTGTCATCTTTAATAGTAATTAATGGGACATCATCATTTTCCAACGTCGGATTACTATTGTTTTCACGACTGTTATGATGATTATCACTGGATAATGTGGACCCATTATAAGTAGGATCGCTGCTGATATCAAGAACAGATTGATGCACAAGATCGTTATTATCATTGTCAGGGTAAAGATTACCTGGAATTTTTCGAGTAATTATTCCATCTTTCAATTCAACAATAAAATCTACTTGAGCACGTTTATTTACAATTTTCTAAAAAACATAAAAAGAACATTGGGAAGACAAATATATAAAGTGAACAAACAAATAATATACATATAGCCTCTTGGAAAAACGCATCTTCACTTACATTATTCACTAACCAATCCAACTGATGTGTGACGATAATTCTAGTTCTTCCTGATAAAAGACCAAGTAAACAATTGGTGATAATTTGTTGACCAACATCAACGTCAAGTGCAGATAACGGGTCGTCTAAAAGATAAACATCGGCCTTTTGATAAACAGCTCGAGCAAGAGCAACACGAGCCCGTTGACCTCCACTAAGACTGCTCCCACCAGCTTCACCAACATCTGTGTCTAGACCATTCGGAAGTTTAGCCAGATCAGCTTTTAAGGCACACGCTTCAATTACAGTATTCATCCATGCTAAATCACAGTCTGAACCAAATAAAATATTTTCCCGTATAGTTCCAGAATGAAGCCAAGGAGTTTGTCCCACATAAGCATATCGAAGTCGTGGATTCGTCTTCATACTTTCATTTCTAAGTTCTTCTGAAACAACCGATCGTAGTTCACCCAATATACTTAAAAGTAAAGATGATTTCCCGGAACCAACTGGTCCAATTACACCGATTAATTCTCCCTATAAATGATCATGAATGTAATAAAGATGTTGGAAGGAATAATTATGTGGAATGGGTAATTAAATTGAAATAGTATGATACTATGATGCATCAATGTAAATTGATACATCACTGAAATATACTTCTTATTCAATGCTCCAATTAGCGACTAAAAACTTCAAAGCCACATTTTTGTCTGACCCTAATAGTTCACTTGGTAGCTCGATAACGATTTAGGAAATATCACCTTTAGGTAGACGGGAGATAAAACTTTACATCAATAAATTGGTCTTCAGCTTTTATAAATAAGCGCTTATTGGTTCTAACAGAATTAGTTGAACTTCGAAGATATTGAATAATTAAGTACCAGTAAGCTCAAGTAGTCTGTCATCAACAAACAAGTTTTACAGCCACTTAGTAAAATAAGATGAAATGTTGTTCTACACATGGAGAAGAAAGTAACCTTTGATGGAAAGCATTCAAAAATGCAACAAAACAACTACAGGGAATATTGAGGTATTTGCTTTGGGTTGAAATATCCACACAGAAGATAATGATCACTCATTCTTAAATGACAACAACGTGAAAATCCAAACCCTTACAACAATTAGATTTGAATTTTAGTGGTGCGATATAATCAACTAATAACTTTCAACTCACCCATTGCACCTGGAGAGTGATATTTTTTAGAACTAAATTATCACAGTTAGTATAATAGAATGATTCATTCATAATGTTTACGGGCATGCTGATAGTAGATTTTTCGGCAAAAGAACAGACAATCGGAATATCTGTTGGAATTCCAACATCAGAAAGCGGCGTATCAGTTAATTCCAATGGAAACGAACCAGATGATAAATAGAAGAGTTTTGTAATGCGTTGCATGGATATAGTTGCCTCCATAACACCATTAATAACCCAAGGAAAAGCATTCATCGGACCAATCAACATTCCAAATAATGCAAGACTAGAGAATACCTTAAAGAGAACAAGATGATGCCGAGTGGGTGTGCAGATTTAAGCGGATATTCGAAATACGAGTATTTAGTATTCAAATAATAAGTAGATATTAACTCAAATCGATATCAGAGTGATTTAGTTTAAAAGATCAAAAATAACAAATTTAAAATGAAATTTATCTCATAGAAAGAGGGAATAGAATATATAAAATTGGAAAATGATTTTGAGGAGGCTGACAAGTAACTATGACAATAATTAAAAAAGTCAAAGGTATCCGATGCAGCTTAGTTAACCACTGAGTCCTGTACATAACTGAAAATTTACCACTAATAATTTTCAAAAAAACCTATACCAGATAAGTAAATAGTTTTTTTAAGAAACAACAGTGCGAATCTTTATCCATTCTTAACGAACATATAATATATGTTTCAAAATGACTATTCTGCTGAAATTCATAGATGGTTATTAGTATGCCAGTGAACATTGAAAACTTTTACCTGCGATAATTAGAAAATTTGAGCATTATTAACTGAAGTCGCTGAAGATATCTTGATTTAAATAAATTTGTTTTTTTCATCAACTAGTATACTAAAAATTAGATACAGGAATGCCAAATCATTAAAATGTTGTATCTACTTTTTGGAACGTAAGAATTCATGACAATTATTTAAAACAGGTGTGGTATAATAGGTTAGCAAGGAAACGTCTCCCAGTGGTCAGGTGTGGCCGAGTGTGTTGAAATTCGCTTTTAAAATTAAACACGTAGATATTTCATATTATTAAGGGAAGGAAACATCGACAAAAAGCCTTAGCATCTAAATTCGGTGTGTACCCTAACATATATCATATATACTAGGTTGTCTTAATGATTAAGATAACATAAATGCAACTGAATATTTACCTCAGAAGCTTTTAATTCGTTACCGATAGCCACATAAGTTGCGAATGTTGAACTGGCTAACAATGCAGGACACACAGCCCAAAAGAATACACAACAAGCGTCCAGCAACTTTTGACCACGTAGAGCGTTCAATTCCTGAATACGAGAATGCATGACACGATTTTTCATTAGATTTTCCCAACATGCTAGTTTCACTGAAAGCGTATTTGATAGAATTTCAGACATCAACTACATTTTCGAAAAGAAAGCAATCATAGTGTTTATTACCAAAGTAAAATTTAGTATCAAAATTAGATCGCATGAAAATTTGAGTATTGAGAAATTTTTTACATATAAGTACCAGCTTTAGTGATTGAATTTACAACTAAAGATTTTTACACAGAAATGTATGGGTTTGAAATGCAGCAAAAATACCGACTAACTACGCAGTTTACAACTTCAGGGAACAGATACATAGTCAGTATTTATTACGAAAAGATATGCTCAGTTTGGTCAATACATTGAAAATAGTCAAGTAAACGAACTTAATTTTACTAAAACATGGATGCTAATAGTTTAGAGAAATTGTTTAGGTAAATGAAACAAGTAAAAAGGTTGCTAAAGTTTTCCACTGGGAAGAACACAATATAATTTTGGAAGACCTCGTTTATAGAATATAAGTTTGAGGTATTTGAACAAAAAGCATGTTTTCATAAAAACTGTTTTTTTTTAAACTCCGGAAGACATGGAACAACAACCTTGTGTGATACTTTTTGAACCTAATCACAATATTATTCATTGTAAAACAAGTGCGTGACTTGGTGGTTTAATCCTTTTAACTACCATTCTAACAGAAAATGAGATGAGTCGCGATCACGGAAGAATCATCAACCAATTTTAAGATAAACGATTAGTGGTGACAAGGTTTGGATAATAGTTACATGAATAACAAGATTAAAAACAGTAAACTAGAAGTTCAAAGTCCTCTATCTCCTTTTTTAGTTATATTTTCTTGATAAGTAAAGATATTTTAAGAATACAAAAAAGTTGCCTTGGCTATGTTTCCAAATATAAACAAAGTTATTTGGTGTAACGTATATGTTACCTAGATAAGTTGCTAACTAATAGTAAACTCTATCCGAAAGTCTTGGTCAGAAGAAGCGGTTATGCATAGAGTGGAAACATTTCAAGATACTATTATTTTTTGTATTATGGTGAAATTTGGTGAATGAGAGCCATTTAAAATCCTTTTTCAAGTGAACTTACAACTTATAGTTTTCGGCTTGTCTCCCCAACAGAAATCAAAAATTTCAGGTAACCGGAGTTTTATACAGAACAGAAAATAAGAGATTTTAAAGAAACAAGCACGAAATAACTTGAAAAGCTTTTTGTAATCGTGAATTATTAGTTAATGTTTATAATTACGCACTACGCTCGTGAAGGAAAGCAGATAAGTGATATTCAAACCGACACAATTGTTTTTAGTTACCTGAACACTTCAATAAAGAAAATTAGTACACTTAAAAGACACATGAGGAGTGAAAACACTCACTTTAATCCGTGTATCCTTAAATACCATCAAACGACGACTAAACTTTCCGATTTGTGTTGCCAAAATACGGTTCAGAGGAATCAACACAAGTAGAAACCCAATGCCTACTAAACAGGCAAGTCCAAGTTGATGGTAAAGTAGTCCGACTGCAACAGATAACTGCAGAGGCATTGCCCACACTTCGTGAATACTAGGTGCGAAATTGACTATTCTATCAGCATCAGAGGTCAGATAATTAACCAAACTTCCTGTTCCAACACAATTAAGTGACGAAGTTCTAAGGGATAAAATTGTTCTGTAAACCATTCCAGTTACACTGACTCTAACTTTGAAGCCGAAACTTGCCATTTTGTAATTATAGGATGTGCTCAGAACTGCTATCTTTAATGACAAAAGCACTAGTCCAAGTCCAACAAGGATGCAAGACCATGAGGGAGTTTCGGAGTTTGTCACATTTAGAATGAAATGATTAAGAACTATTGGACCACATAAACCAAAGCCACTGAGTAAAAGTTTGAGCAAACCCAGATACAGGAATTCACGACCGAACGCCTCATAACTTGCTTTTAAAAATGGAACACAAGCTTTGATAGAACACCTGCCATTAGAAATATTATGACTTTGCCTAATTGGTTCATTGATAGTTACAGATTTCAACTTTAATTTAGGGATTTTTGACTCCAAAGTGTATGTATTCAGACGTTTAGGGATCAAAGGTAGACTTGTGAGTGAATACAATTCTCCGTAATAACCACTACGCACTAGATTATTCGCCCAACAAAAACATAACTTTGAAAAACATGAAGCCGAATCTTCACATTCAATAACATTATGTGAAGTGGGTCTTTGTGTAATTTCATTTGACTGGATGCTATTGGGATTTTGTCGTAAGATCCTAGCCCTTCTGCGCCTAGGCTCTTCCGTGGGATAGAACACTGGAACCTTGGAAAGTAAATGCAGACATAATAGGAGTAATTGAACATAACAATTAACGGTAACATATGGCCTCCACAGCGCATCCACTTCTCTTCTAAAAGACCAGCAGTTTATGGCTGAGCAAAAGAAGTATACCATTGAAAACGAAAGATAAACCCGAGAACCCCTTGAAGAATATTTGAGGGTTTTGCCATGGAGATAATCAAGGATTAGTGTAGTAATCCAGAGTATTACTGTCATGAAATTGTGAATTGAAATAAAACGAGAGTTAATTGAAAACCCCTCCTCGTAGTATGGAAGCAAAAGCCCAAGAACAATAATCACACTGCTGCTAGTAATGATTGCTATATCTATGGCCACTCGAAAATAGAAGGCTGAACAATAAAAACTGTCAAATGCCAAGTGCCTCCACAGGACAGCGCAATAAATAAGTGAGATAGTTGTACACAACAAAGTTAAGGGGATATAAAAGTATACTTCAAACCAGCAAACCCCAACAACTCCATCATGCCATGGACTAGGATCTAAGCTTCCACATATTAACTCCACAAAAGAGACCTGCATCGCACAGGTTTGACTTTGTGACCAGTTCAGTGGCCTTGAGATTAAATAGTTGATCACTTAAAAAATAAGTCTGAAAAGCATATTATTAACCATACTTTGCTGTTCAGAGAAGACAGAGTGGTGTTTGTTCTTGGCTTGAGCACTCACAAAAGCACATTAGAAAATGAATAACGTAGACCGTAGGTGTTCTGTCCTTCGTACTCAAATATGAATGTGAATCTAAGCGGTTGGTCTTGGATACAGTGTAAATATGAAAGAACTAAAATACCGTCGAGTTGAAACTCAAGGTATTTTAATTCAATCACTTTTATCTTAAGTCATTATGTTCACATATGCAACACAAACTATTTTATTCCAATGAAAGTTGTCAGATTATCCAACCATATCAAGCAGTGACATAAAGTCCGACTAATGAAAGGGGAAGCTATCTGCGGATTGGCTTCGAAGATAAAATGGAGTCGTGTACTCTGAACTTGTAAATTATTCTGTCCAAATCTCTTTTAATGATGTGATTTCAGAGCCAAAGATTTCAGAAGTCGAGGATGTTGGTACAAGAAAATATATGTGAATTATTGATAGGGGTATTGTAGCACAGAACGTTTGTGCTAGCTAGTTGCCTAAGAAGCTATATTCCACGGCGTCTTGAGATGCGACCTGATTAGACCTATTGATCGAGCTCCTTCAACTAGTGGTATATTCAGTAAAACTAATTAGGTAGACAATAATGTCAGAAGCCTACATAGCTATTTGTTTCGGTGAATTATTTATTGCTACGAAGTGTTGTTCACGATTTATGTGATACCGAAAGGTATTACGACACAGATACCAGGTGTCAAATAGTCTCCTGAATTACATGTATATAACTAACAGATCTGTAACTAATTATATGTAACCGTATATTGGATTGAGAGAGGTTTATTCAATGTGAAAAGATATTACCTACGACAAAATCAGACAAAACAGGTTTCCAACAACGCCTTTTAGAGTTGTTTTGAAAAAGAACATGATACAAGATGAAGGCTACGAGTAATTGTGTTGTTGATTAGATGCAGGGTCATGTGCACGCTACATTTTTTAACCGGCTATCACGTAGATAGACAGAGTTTCACATCAGGTCCTGTCACAATCTGGTGACGATACCTAACCGAGCACCTTTAATCATTTCTATCCAGAAAAACCAACCATGTTAATTTCACTCTCAAGATGCCTACAAAGTACTTGTTTTAGAGCTATACATATCACGGCATGTGAAGTGGTGAAGCAGATTTAAGAGTGATTTGAAAGCATCTCATGTGGATTTTAAGTTGCCAAAACTATGACAGATACTTGACCCAGGGTTTGCAGGAAAAGCATGTTAAGACTGATGAAACGTACCGGAACCAAACATCAAGTTCCTACTTACTATTTGATGTAAAAGACTTATTTATAACAAGAGATTTTCAGTAACTACTGCAATCCTGAAAGCCGGAAGGGCTTGGTATCCACTCCATCATCAAAAAGAAAACCGGATGTGATCATTTTAGCGGAAATCGGATTATATATACTGCCTGAATCTTGATTAAGAAATGATTTGTAGCTCGTTAATTAGGATTATGGATTGAAATAGTGATCTATCACAAAGTTCGGTCCGGTTTAATATTTCGTAATATATTGTAAACATAGTTTGTGTACTTTTGCACAATTATTAATCAAGTTGATAGAATTAATACTTTCTTGTAATAAATTTTCTGGCAATCAAGTACCATATATGTGAACTGAAATTCATGTTGCAGTAATAATGTCATGCGATAGCGATTGTCCCTTCTGGATATGATGCAAAGCCATTCTGACGAAATTAAGTACTTTCGTAGCTTATGCCGCCGTTTTTGCAAGCAATAGGGGTCGGCTTGTCTCCTTCACTGTGTTTTTCCTATTGTTTCGTGTAGCTTCATAATTTAATGTTTCATTTTCCTAAAATTCCGCACTTAATGTAATACTCTCAGTACTGGAGCGATTTTTTCAGTCAGCTTTGTTTTCTCGGTTTTGACGCTGCTACTCAATTCAGCGTATCCCCTCAGGAAAACGGCTTGTTTTATGTCATGAAATATTATTCCGTTTTGTTCTGAGTATTATTCTGTAGATAACGAGAAACAAAGTTAGTTTGTTTCTAGCCAAAATAAATGATGTTGCCGCCTGGGACTCACTAGCTGTTCGCAATTTAATGAAGAGGTATTAGATCAGCACGAACGAATGTATTTTATTTTGAATCCAAAATCAAGCAGTCATCAATACAAAGTAGTCATTAGTTCATTCAAACACCAGATTTGTCACAATTTAAATCGGAGTATAGGTGTCTGTAGTCGATTGTACATCTCCTTCTTAAGCTCATCTTACGTCTGTTCGCCAGTGTATCGGATATAGACTCTGTAATATCTGATTCCTGGAATTGTATACAATCATCATCGCGGTTGTGTAATGAAACCACTGACGTTGAGAATTTTCATCATAGACTTTACAGCACTATCCTCCCCCCACGAAATAATGTTGGATCTTCATTTAAAAGATACCTCACATATTGACTAGATTATTCATTAGAAGTGATTTCATGATAAGTATGAACAAAAGTTGATATGAAGTTATCCGAATTGTAATGAAAATCAAGCTCACTTAGTACTCGTGCTTCGCATTGAATAAGTTTCCCAAAATTAGCAAATGCATTATGAGGATAAATAATATATGATATGACATCAAGATTTAATTCTTTTGGAATATTTTCATTAAATTTATTAAGAGTTTCATTGAAGAGTAATGGATCATCAGAAAAATCAGCATCTACCAAAACGAAAGTCCCGTTTTTAATCATGATTTGACTCGTTCAACACATTATTCTCAAAGTTGTAAGCAATTTCATCAGAAATATGTGACTGATTATGACAAACCGCATCTGGTACAATAACACGAGAAATGTGATAAGAAGTTTGTTGATTAAAACTTTTGTATCTCAATGATTCTAGGTTTTATTCAACTTTGGACTGTTATACGACGTTATACCGCTACTCGAAGTCTTGGATAAAGATAAGTGGTCATTAGAAATATCTAACTTAGTAGAATCACAGATTTCAGCATTAGTTTCAGCTAAACAAACCATGGTATTATAAACTGACTGAATGTGTCCAGTTTTAACACATTTAAAGCATCCAGATTTATGAAATACACATGAATTTAATGGGTTAAACATGCCACAGAACAAGCATGCAATGCATTGCAAGCCAGAATAATGATCATATTCACGTTCATGTAGTCATCGAATTTGTCATATTATCATGTAATTTTTATGCATTGGGTTAACTAACAACGTTGAATATAAACCTACCCTTGATGTACTTTTGTAGCAACTGAATATAAGCGTTGAAAACTCATCTGATGACCTGTGGTTAGAATAGAAACATTAAACCCCGAGTGTAGGGTTAGTAAATTTCCTACTCTACTGGGCATTACATTTCAAATTTTTCTATGTTGAATAGTGGGACGTTTGAGTATTTAAATTAATATAACCCCATGCTCTACTTGTTCCTCGTGTTATGTAATAAACATTAAAACCATACCGTTGAGAGCCTTATGGATTTTATTATTCAACAAATGTTAGTACTGACATTCATCTATTCCAAAAGTAGTCCACATATACATGGATCCTAACTGTGCGGACCAAAAATTATATTAACTCAAAAATAACAGTAAAGTTATTATGTCTAAATGTTAATATTATAGTATACCAACTATAAGTTATAAACACAAATAAAGTTAAGGGACGTTACTTAAGTCAGCAGATTGTTGCGTGTTCACTTGGTACCAGAATCCACAATTATAGATAATTAATAATTCTAGTGCGGTTGATATGGTTCCAGTAATATAGCCAAACGTAGAATATAATGGAAATGTCGCTGCACTCTATAAATGTAGACGATAGATAATTCAGAGTTCAGTTATTGTAATCACAAGCAATGGAGAACAAGAGACGTGTGTATAGTAGGGTATTTACGAGCCGTTAACAACGTGTGTCATGCGATTGGTAGTACAGAAAGGAAAAGTGTGCTCAAGGTCATACATTTAAGATGTACAATCATTTTGTGATAAATGTACAGACTGTGAAAATTAGTAAAATAAATGCAAATAATATCGAAAACTATTTACAAAATAGTTTTGTTATGCCTATCTCCATATTACATTCAATATAAATGTTTTGTTATTCACAATCTTTTGCTGCATTGTATCGCTATGTTGAATAGTCGGTTAGGATGGGATTTTTGTATAGTATTAATTTGACAGTTACTTTCTGTCTACATAGAAAGAATTTAACATTTGATACGTAATGTACTATTTTTTGAAAAAAAGAATGTCAAAAACAATTACCTTTATTAGTTCGAGTATTTTAAGTGCTATGCAAATGTATTTCTACTGTCTACTGTACTTGACGTAATATAAAATCAGTTATTACTGAACTTCGCACGAAAACCTAAAAGTTGATTTCTCAATTCTGATTCCCTCGTCGTTCCACTGCCGTTTTAACGTTTGTTTTACAATTCTTTCTGTATTAGTGGATGAGCTCGCCGTGCAGACTGTTTTCAGGATAATTCAGTTCAGAGTGCATCGATGAATTTACAAACTTTGGTTTACTCGTTGCCTGATATTCGCAAAACTTTTCAATAAAATCAAAATAAATTCTCAACACATATAAGTATTAAGTGGCAAAATAATTGTTTCTTATTTACATGGGTTACAATAAAAGTTGTATAGGTTGTTACGGAGATTTGATTTAATGACTTTAAAAAGGTTAGTCCTTTGATAAATCCGGATAATGTTATATCAAGATGAAGGTTTGAATATATTGACTATTAGTTATATTATTCATGATAATACAGTAACAATGTCATTCATAATAACCCGATGAATAAAAAATTCAATTTCTGATGACTCATGACTTAATGTAAGTTGCTTCTTTAAAGAATGAATGATTTTCTTCAGACTAACCTGGGATATTACAAGTAAGACATTATTATCATATCA